TTTGTTTAATTTTGAATAACTTTTGTCATTTAAAAGTTCATTAATTTTTTGATCATAGATATTATAATCCATAATGACGGTCGCATTACCTTTATTATTCCTCCGGAGGAATGACGCCAATTTTGAATCACCCTGTATGATAATCGCGGTGGTCTTTTCTAGGACAAATCTAAAACTCTTAAGTACAAGCACTCCAACCATGACCGCTCAAGGGCAACTGGCGGAGCCCCCCAGTCCGAAAGCCACCAAAGACCCCAAGGTGCATACCACATCCAAGGCGCGGCAGAAGAAGTTTCTTCGCCACTTCCCCAACGTGGAGGAGGATGAAAAGGTGCTCAATCACTACTCTTGTGCTCTGATCGGGGACATTCTGCTCCAGGGCCATCTCTACATTACCAAAAACTACTTCGCCTTCTATTCGAATGTCTTCGGGTACGTTACCAAGGTGAGTGAATCGCACCAGGAGGGCCAAAGAAATGTCATCTTGACTTGAATGAGGCGATTTTTGCAGTTGCTGATCCCCATTCTGACTGTGGAAGAAATTACTAAAGAGAAAACTGCGCGAATTATCCCGAACGCGGTCGGAATCACTACCAGTGAGGACAAGCACATATTCGGCAGCTTGATGTCTCGAGACAGCACTCTGGCTTATATGAAGACGGTGTGGGAAAAGGCCAAGAGCGAGGAAACTCTTCCGGAGCCGGAAATAACCGTAAGTTGCCCCAGAAATGCCACTTAAAAGATAGGTACCACTATGTAGAAATATTCCCTTTCAGGAACCTGATCAGGATTCATCGGAATCCGGCGAAAGTGATAGAGAATCGCCGGCTCTGGAATCCATACCATCCGGCCCCGATATTTTAGCCAGCGCCAAATTCGACAGAATGCGGAAAGAGAGCGTACGAAACCAAACTGACGGTACTTGCAAGCTAACGAGGGCAAATCAAATTAGCTAATTCGTTCTCCGCAGGTTCTTTATTAGAGAGGAAAGGCTCCAAGGGCTTTGTGCGCACCTTAAAAGACGCTATCGCGGAATTTCGCAAACTGCCCAGGCAGAGCCTAATACTAGTGGCAACGACGCTCCTGCTGATTTTGCTGTTCCTCTCCGCCGGTGTGCTGTTGTATAGGATACACAAAATTCAGAATAAGTGAGTTGCGTAAAATCATCGCCAAAGGGCATAAACTAAGGCCAGTTTTCCAGATATTCCATATCGTTGCAAGGGGCTTCGCTCGCCTCCACGTCTGAAGACATTTATAGTGATCTTTTACATTGGCAAACACATCTCCATTCCAGATCGGCTGATGCGGTCAATAATTTCTTAGATAATAATTTAGATCAGATTGCCAAGGTAGGTAAGACGGAATGAGGGTGTTACCTTAGAAAGAGTTCAGTATGAAAAATGTTCGCAGGTCAGGCAATCCCTTGAAGCGCTGTCCGCCCTGCTAGCTGGTCAAAACACCAACGCAGTTCCACCCACTAAAGTGGACAGTGCTGACCTGAAAACTGAGTCAGTTACAGTAAATCCAGCAGCCGGTAACAGTTAGCATAGTTAGTTGGACTGCTTTTAATGTTTCTAAGGGCCTTTGGGATTGAGAAACTGGAATTTTCACATTTTATCAACACGCAAACTGCTCAAAACTGCGAGTATTGGAACTCACTTTCGAGAGGATCGTTGTTTTAGGTCAAAAACTGCTTTCAGTTGATTTTTATATCAGTATTACACAGAAACTCATAATGAAGTGAAAACCAACCACCCGAAATCGCGTGAAACGAGCTTAAAACGCGAACGAGTAAAAATGGATGCTCAAAGGAACTGCATGTTTTACTCTAGCGATATAGAATTTGCCAAAAAACTATTGCCATAATACAGTTAAAACGATATTGTTCTGAAAACAAGGTAGCACATACCTAGCAACATTGTTTTTAAATCTAGTCTAAGGATGCACCCTCTATTACACTTAAGAGTTCAGCTCAAGCTCTATATCCTTAAGCAGGATGTACCATTCTCAAACGATTCAACTCAACAGCAACATGCAATGACCACTGCTCGTGATAGTAAAAACTATCCATAATCCAGCAGTATGTGCTGGGTTGTCTTATGCCAACCCAGCAAATAGAGCTTGACTATAGATAGCTGTGGCAGTTGCTGGCATTTCCAAGGTTTTCCATACTCTGAGGAAAAAAAAAGCATCCATCAGCATTGAAAAGGCGTGTGAAAACCTTTCGAAATGTCTAGACTGCACGATTTTGGGCCTAAACAATTGTTTCATTGCACTTCTTGTTGATTAGCGGTGTTTATCATAATTTAGACCTAAGATGGAATTAATTTAGTACAAAGTACTGGGTAAGTTTTAAAATAACGTTATTTTTCTTTGGCTCGTTTCCAACAAGGCTTTGTTTGCCATTTTTGAGCATCAAGGTAGTCGGCCCGTTTTTAATTTTAGCAAACCATCTAGAAAATGTTAACAATTTTCTAGGTTTTTTCTGTTTTCTCTTGAATTAAGTCACTTGGAATGTTGTGGACAAAAACTGTACTTAACTACAGTAGGATTCCAAAGATCAACTGCAAACTCATATTCCGTAAATGTTAATTGTTCTGATTTTACTAAAGAAAAATAAAAAATGCGAACCAATGAAGGGCAGAAATAGCGTGAAAGTTTTGCGAAAGAAAGGGATGGCTTTCGTATAGATTGGACTGATTAGACTTACTGCAAAGGCGAATATGTTTCTGGACGTTATTTAAGATGGTGAAAGGGTTCTTTATTCCCCCATAGTATGTATATTTTGTATATTTTTGTAGTTAGATCTTATTTAAAGAACCATCCAACTATTCGCGTTGGGTTACGTATATTGTTTTTATCTGTTAGATTTATTATTTATTTGATGTATGTGAATGTTAGAGAATCCTCTTCTATTGGCCATTTCAAAGCACGAAAAAATCTGAGATTTTTTTGGAAGAAAGAAGAGGGTTTTTTGTTAAATCATTGAGTTTTTTATCGATTCTAGCTAATAGACAACCTGTGATATTTTGTTTTTGCTTTTATGGATTATTGAATAAGATAGTGGTTCTTGCAAAAGTATGAATGTAGTTTAATTTACTTCTTCTGAAACCAAGAAGCTCCTAACATGGGGGAACAAACAGTGTCAATAGGAACACTATTTAAAACTATCAAAATGCACACTCACATCATCAAACCTAGACAACATGCGAGTAGCCATCATTGGTCATCACTCGTTGCTGCTGTTTAAGCGATTTGTCCAGAAATATAACCACATAAGGCACTAAAGCACACAGCGCAATATAGAGCCAGTATGGAATAGGGGCAGTGCTTCCAAAAGGGTACAGCCAGAGGCCCCTTCTAGCGGCGTCTCTGATATGATGGGTGGCAAAAGCGGTGAGCCCTATCAAAGCCCCCTGCTTGAAAGCAGGGACTTTCCATGTTTGGCTGACTAGTAAAAGAACCAAAAACAGCACCAGGGGGGTGGTGGAGCAGTGCAGAAAGGGTCTCTGCATCAACGCTGTGGCGTTCTATGAAAAAATCGTTGACTAGACGACAATGGGTGATTGATGTAATGTTACTACCTTTAATAAGGTGGACCTCGCGGCTATAAAGTGGTCCAAATCGATCACCGATGATAAAAAGGTGCAGGCAAGCACTTCGAGGGCCCCATGCCGCTGATCGGATTCCTCAAGTGTTTTAGCCCGGTTTAAGTAGTAAATGGTCCATGCGAGCCCCCCAATAAGAGCGTGAGTAATGTTATCACATAGGGCTTTGACCAGGGGGCTGTTACAGATGGTGATTAAATAGTCACCCAATACAGCTGCCACACTCACAGACACCGTTAGTAACACGTTCACATTCAAAAGCACTCGATATAAGACCATGCTAAACCTTGCAATTATTTGCCTTTTATTAATCTTATTTATTAGTTTACACTTGTAGACTTGTTGACATTTTCATTTAAACTTAACCCCACAATTTCAGGGATTTTCCACCGAATTCAAATCTCCCGTCGGGAAAAGTTGGTAAAGAAATCTTCTGTGTTACCGATCGTTAATTTCAATGTATAACCAACAGAGTGGACCCCTGAGATCTGTGCCATAACCTCTTCTGTAAATGTTATAAAATTTTTAAAGACAGCAAAGAACGGCATGGGGCTGATGATATCCAAACTGAAGCACCCGTTCCGTGACTTCAATTTGGAGAGTAGAGCGCACAAATTCATTAGTTTGCCCGACAAAAAACCAGCTCCTCGACATGTCAAAGACGAACTCGACCTGCAGAGGATGAAAAAAGGTTTTTATCACTACCACGGCTCTTGATCGAGCTGACTTCTTGCGTTTTTAGACTACCCGGAGGTCTTTGAAGAGAGCCTGAAGAAAAATGAGGTTTTGGACCGGCATCTGAAAGACGTGTACGTGCAGTCAACGGATGTAAGCACCGGCTAAACAAGCTACTTTCATTGCTTAAAATCAGGATTCCAATAAATTTTAGATTCCGATAGAACCGCCCAAGAGAATAGACCCAACGAGGCCACTGCCACAGGACAGACAACAGCCCGAGGAGTTTCTGTTCGGCCATAAGGAGCCAGACAGGATCCCGGTGGGTAAAACCACTTTACGGCAGGTTCTGAAATTCGTTTCGTATCATCAGGGCGACCCAAAGGTCCACAATGTGAAGCAGATTGCCGAAGAACATAAACTTTCAGAGGATTTAGTCAGTAAGTTGTACGAACTTGGGAAGAATCAAAGATGCGATGGAAGCCGATATTTTAGGAAACATCCTCAAGTATTACAGGGTGTTTGAAGTGTACATGCCGATAGAGAAGGGCAAAACAAATGCCAAGTTTGCTGGGCCCAGCAACCCGAAAGTCAGGATCATTAAAGAAGAGAGAAAGTTGATTGGGTCATTTAAGGGAAAAAGTGATAAGGATGAGACGTGATCCTGTTGCTGGAAAGTATGTACGTAGTTCCTGTTAAATTCAGCCAAGTTTGTTGCTTTGACCCTGAGCCTGGGGGCGATTTTCCAGCCGGTTGCTTTACATTGCTATTATTTTAGAGCAATAAACCATTCTCAGAGCAGAATCTCCATTTAATAAAAAACAGACTTATAGTAGATTGGTCTGGGTATGATAACAACACCCTTCAGTCCGGTAAAACTGTATGGAATTCGCTAGGCAATTTTATCCCACCTCCAAACTGTACCATCATCACAAACGTACAAAAGCACCTTCGCATTTCGACTCACCGTTGTCTGTCTGATTGCGGTTGTGCATCGGGGGTGTTGCAAAGTGTAGCATTTGGCTTGGGCAGGATCGGTCACATCCAGGTCCCAAACAAACACTTTTCCCGTTTGATTTCCCAGGGCTAAAATCTGGAATTCACTTGTTAAAACTGGAATTGCAATTAATACTTTTATGGGAACCTTTTGCCAAAAATCCATTGCAAACCTTACAAACCAGATTTCGCACTCTTTGTATTCGAATTTGTGGATGATGGTGGAGGTGGTTTCTCCCTTGCGAAGCTGTTCGTCCTCCAGCCGGCCCGGTTTCCAGCAAATTATGCAGTTTTCGCAGGACTTACTAAGCACAAAGTCTCCAAACCATTTTACGCAGTCCACGTAGTTCCTGCAACAATACAATTCGCTTTCTGCAGCTGCAACTCATTGGCTGATCTACTTGTACCAACCGGTGAATGTCCCGAGTAGAAAAATCAGGGAAATGCTCCTTCAGCGTGTCAAACGGCCTGGAGTTTCTATTCGAATTCCAGTTATACGACTGTTTAATCGCTTCTCTCATATAGTCCTTGTCCAGCAGCCACAGTTTCAAAGAGTGGTCCATACCGCAGGACATGATTCTATTGCCGAGCAAATCAAAATCCTTGGGAAACGAGCACGGGTAAGTAAAATTTGCAATAAAACAGCCCCGGTTGCACTTACGGCGCTCAATACTTCATCTCGATGGCCCTCCACTCCGCCAAAGATGGCTATGCAAACGTCGCTCTTGATATTCCACAATCTAAACTCAAGGCACAAATTAACAACAGATTTTTGCCTTCGATCTCTTTCTACCTTAAGGAATGGTCTTTGGAAACTGAGAGCAGCAAGTTCGGATCTTTGGGGTGAAATTTCAGCTCATTTATGGCATGTCCATGGCCTATGTAGTGCTTGTTGCAGCTCATAGTCAACGGATTAAGAATCCTGATCACGCCTAAGAAGGTTTCAAATGGTTAACGGACAATTCTAAATAACTCGTTCCAAACCCCTTGCTCCAGCAACTGCTAAAAGGGGCTTTCCTGACTCCTCATCGTAAGACCAGGCACAAGTATAGAAGTTCTCATCGAGCTAAAATGGAACAGAAGAGAAGCATTTTGCACAGACACTTCACGAAGGTTTGATTCTTACATCAGGATCTGCATAGCACTGCACCAGCTTGATGCCACCGGCTTCGGGACATTCGTAAATCGTTACTCGATTGCTCCCCACTGCAGCAAAGATTAACGGTTGCCCCTCTTTAAGGTGGTGGTTAAACTGGGCTCCAAAGAGCGGCTGCCCATGATCTTCTTTTATGCTGCACCTGCGGAAACACACTCCAGTAAAACGATGTTTATATACCTACAAATTGACTTACATGTACTTGTAAATGGGCTTAATGATCTTCTGCGAGTTAGAAAGCCTCTTTTTACCAGGCTTGCCTTTGCGAGATCTGCTGGTTGGGGTTGCACTCCTCGACGTGTTGTCAGTGGTTGAAGTGCTTCCAATGCTTGATGTTTCATCCTTGTGTATCAAAGCTTGGTATCAAAACAGGCATCAACCAAAAGCCCTAATACCTACACACTCATCGCCGGACTCTTCAGTTAGATTGGCATCGGTGGACCCCGAAGACTTGTTCTTCATGTCTTTCATAATGGCTTTGTATCTATTTTAGCTGTAGGAACTCCTGAATCTTGTGAGAACGCTTTTGTTGCTTCAAATCAAATCCCTTTATTTCAAGGAAAGCGCTTTAGAGTACCGCAAGGAGGATTTTAGCACATCACAGGAAACTAACAAAACATTTATATGACAACCAAACATAACCAAACTAACTTCACAGATCACAGAGGTTACTCTGTAATCTGTGACTAACTTCCTCGATCATTAACCTCAACATTTCACCACAGAACATACCCCCTTGGGGGATATTTTGTGCATTTCACTGTCAATCAGAAGAGCCCGAACCCTAGAGAAATTAAAATAAATATTATTCTCTTCGCCAACGGCTGCTGTTGTTAGAAAACAGGAGCAAATAAAATTCCTAAATGCCTGAAACAGATATAATACACAATTACTTATTCTTATCAGCTAGCTTTTGTTTGATCATATCTTTAAATTGGCCTAAAATAAGATTCTCTCGCTTCTGTCGCTCCTCCTTGCTGAACATGGCCAGAGCACGCTTCTCATCGGCCGAATAGATTTGGTTCTCCTTCCTTATACGTACAGCCTCCATTCTTCGGTGCCTGGACCCGGACATCACGTACCCTACTTTCTCAAATGAGGCAATTTCATTGGAAGTGAGACCGATTTCTCCTCGCCTGGGAATGCGTTTGCCCTCGGCCACAAAGGCGGCCATAGCAGCTCCTTCTCCTGGCAGCAGCGCCTTGCCCATCTCCTTGTGGGTCAACGTGGTGAGGGGCTTTTGCGTGGGGCCCAATGTGGAATCTTCCTCCTCAGACTCTGAATCTGAGGAATTTCTTTTGAGTTTAATGTGATCATCTGACGACTTTTCAACCCACTCCTCATCCGAACCCGAACTGTCTGAGCTCGAGGACTTTTTCTTTGACTTCTTGTGTTTCTTTTTGGTCTTCTTGCTTTTCTTGTGTTTCTTTTCCTTTTTGTGCTTTCCCTTCTTGTCTTTTTGCTGCGACGTTGAGGCTGATTTTGATTTCTCGTTATCGCTGTCTGTAGGTAGAGATGCATCCTGTTCTCTTAACGGCGAGGCCGCCCAAATAGTAGACTCTGTCATTCCCAAAATCTCTCTTTCCTGCCTTCGGTGCTCCATGAAATCATCTTCTTGGTTCAGAAACTTTTTGGACCCTCTGATGGCGCCGTACTCCCCATTCTTCCTTTCAGATTTGATGGACTTGTCTTCTTCTGGATAGCGAGTTCGGCTTGACTGGCTGGACTTTTCGTATCTACTAAACATGATCATAGAACAAGACTTAGTTAACACAGAACATCCCCCTTCGTGATACAATGAATACATGTATGTAACTTTTGTTCATTGTATCATGATCCTACCTTGTATTGATTTTATCATGTCTACTAGAGCTACGCTCATATTTGGACTGTCTGGATCTGCTTCTTGACCTGTAGCTCCGAGACGGCTTCCTAGAGGCGCTTCTATGTGTTGGAGATCGTGACATTGTGGTCACTCGTGTTTACCTATGATTGCGGCTCAGTGAGAGACAATTAATTGTCTCTAGTTCAGCACTATTTTTTTGTTTACTGTTAGGTGGAGACTTGTCAAAAAATGCAGGTTAACATCACTAAATCAGAGCCAAGACTTGTCTCTGATGCGATCTACTTCTTCTTTTAATATTGGGGTTGTTCAGGAAAATATGCCACACATTCATTTGGAGGCAGAAATAAGGTTATATAAAGTTGACGTTTGTTTTGCCGTTGGCTTTTGGTAAACAGCCAGTTTGAATATGAAAACATCTATTTCAATAGATTGTGCTTCACAATCGGTTTCAGCTCTTTCGGATTGTTGTACTCAAGCCTGCAACCAATTTTTCCAGTTCATGATCAATTCGGAGCACGCTTATTGCGAACTAGCAGATCGGAAGAAACAGCTAGGTACCTAACACTTTTTTACTTTTTCTTAGTCGGACGCTGTTGAACCAAAGTTTTTTATTAGATGAAGCTCAGACCGAGGACACATTAGTCACAGAAGAAAAGGAACAAGAAGCTATTGTTCAGCGGATACATTCATCTGTAGCGGACCTGGAACTGGCAGAAAGTGCAGTTAAGACAATTAGAGACACTGAGGCCTTAAAGAAGTCTGAATGTCTGACTTATCAGAAAAATATTGATGATCTAAGGAAACGAATTGAGGCAATTTCGAAGCGGAAAGGGGATCTGAGGCTTAACAGGTTTATATGGTATACCTGGGTTGTTCCATCAAAGTTAAGATAACATTCACATTTCAGGGATGAAATATTAGCCTATAAACTGATAAGCAATATTAACTTTGTCCATTCAACCAAAAGAATATGTGGAAGTATCCTTTTTTAAAAAGCTGTTTATGGCCAAAATGCTGCAACAGTGTTGAGATTTGATTTCCATCCTTAACAATATTTCAGCCGTTGAGAAGAAGGGACCAGTGGCATTTAAACTAAATCGCGAAAATTTGACACCAGAACAAATTACTGAGACGCTTTGGGATCTGGTTTTAAAAGTATAATACTTTGCTTTACTGTACATTTTGTTGTAACGAGTAGCACCCTTTGATTATATTATCATTGCTTATTCTGATTTATTTTCCTGACTGCGTGTACTTGTTAGGATCAGCTTTTACTTAGATTTGAGTGAAATATTGTCCATTTGAAGCTCGATGTCTTGGTCACACCCAGTAGAAGTGAAACAGAAATGTTTCAAAGGCGGGACGGCATTTAAAATTTTATAGAAATATGTACTAATCCTTACTCGAAATAATGTTATCGATTAAACACCAATAAAAACATAATGTGATCAACAAGTTCCACATATCTTTGATCTGGATTCAAGCGGATTATTGCCTTTATGTGGTTGAGTTCTTCTTCGAGTTGCTCTATAAATAGTTCTTTATACTCTTATGTTATTAGTAGAATATGTGAAGGTCAAATGAGTTTTAAGGGTCTTTTCTCTCGTGGTCTCTTTTTCGAACTGTTTCTCCCTTCAGATTCAGTGTGAGTTTTGAAGTAGCACTTAAAAGGTCACGCTCGCCGAGCATGTTGGTGAATGCTTTTTGGAACATGAAGAAGTGCCGCTCTTTGCGGCCGCATAGGAGTCTTCTTAGCTTCGCCTTAATCGCTTCAAGAACTTACCGGCGTACGTGTAGCTATCAGAGACAAGCAATAATTCCTTGTCGGTGGTAGCTACGCTGCCGCCGGCATCGCTCCCCGGATTTTAGGCTACTAGGCCCTCTCACTAACGACAAAGTGATGACTCCCCCAGAGAGGGAAAAAGTTGATCCTTCAACATGACTATCCTCCAATAATGCAATAAACAATAAATAGCAATAAACAGTAAAAAATGCAATTATTCGGACGGATCCCAGCCCCTGAAAATCCCTACCACG